AGGGGAGAAGATAACACATGACTCCACAGAAACTATTCTCCCCACCCCCCTGCTCCCATTCGTGTCATAGCTGCTTGAGGGCAAGGTGATATTACATAAGGGACCCTCAAATAGTTAATGGAAAACTCATATTCACAAAACTATCATGAATTTCAACACCAAAATAAAATCGTATTTTCATTTCACTTCCCACAAACTTTTTGTAGTGTCTTCATAGGAATGAGAAATGATGGAAGTGGAAGCTACTGAGAATATTGGGTTGATAAGAAACTCAAGTGCTTGGGAAGAGAGACAGGTATTGAATTCGATAGAAGCTAGGGACCGGGGTGGGGGTGTAGAGAGAGAGGTTCGACAGTGATTTTTCAGCAGTGTGATGGCATCTGGCTGATGGAAGAATGAACCCAAGAGACCAACACTTGTTCGAAGTGCTGGAGCCCACAGAGATGCTTGGATGTCTTGAGAAGGAAAAAGGAAACGTGTAAGAGAGCAGAGACTTGTTGAATGCCTGTGAAGAAAAGACCAGAAACTGGAATGGCTGATATCTGTCGATTGACAGAAGAATCAAGAACTGAGTATCATCTAAGCCAAATAATGCTGACTCTGTCATTTCTCTTGGCCGTGTTGATTTGCCTAGGACTTAGATCCTGCAAATGTTCATAGTCGTGGTAGGGTGTTTCGGTCAGACCGTGTGTGTTCCTGTTGATGATTCACTCTTGGGGTCTCCTGAGGTCCAGAGGGGCATGGTCATAGGAAAGAGTTCTGAACCACAGTGAGTCTCGTACAATGCCAAGTGGACCAATAGGCTGCGTGTCTGTTGACAGAGTGTCTAGGCTGTGAGTTCTGATCTTGGCTAGCCAGAGTTAGCCCCTTGGGCTGGAGAGTGACCCACTTTACTGACTGCATCTTCAGGCTGTTGTCTGGGTGTAGAAATCACTCCTAGATGCCAAGTGGGAAGAGAGAGGTTGAGAGATGCCCCTTGTCTAAAAGGTCTGGGATCCCCAGGATTTTAGCTTCTTGATAAAACTGATGCAGGATCATGGGGAGGCTCCCTTGGGTTCACAGTGAAGCTTCACCATGTTCTCCACAGTATCTGCACCCTGAGAGTCCTAAGGGTGAGGACTCCTACACACTGGGACAATAGGTGATCAGGGAGGGTCCCCAAACATCCCTAAATCAAGGTGGCTTGTCGAGAAATATGGCCTTAGATAAGTCCCACTTCTACTATGCTATTTCTTCTGTCTTTATTCCCAAAAGTCATTTCACTTAAACCAAAAAGAAATGTGTAACTATGAAGGATCTGCACATATACCAAATTGCTAAGCATTTGCTCCAACCTCTATTTCTACAAGTTTCCAAAAATTCCCACTGTCCTCTGCTCCTTCTACCCCTAACTCCCTCTTGCTAGTCTCTAACTAACTCCTGGTGGATTATTCAGAGCTGTGGATTTGCAGTGAGTATTGTTATCCACTCTCTCATAATCCTCTGGTGGTCTTTGCTAATGACTCCTGTGTGTGGCTTGATAGCCCACTTCTCTGGTGATACCTGGCAGTACACACCTTACACACTGATGGTAACCCATTTGCTGGTAAAGGAGTGGCCATTGCTGTCGATCACACAGTGATAGTCTGCGACATCACTGCTATTCACCATGGGGATCTTGAGTTTTGCTTCTGGAAAACTCTGAATCTTTGTTTCCCTATCTGACTTGTTGACATGTCTGTACCAGGAGACTGTGATGGGTGTTGAAACCCCATTTACTGAGCATGTGAGCACCAGCTCTTGTCCTTCAAACACTGACCTTGAGGCTGGGGGGAGTGTGTATTTAAACATTGGAAATGAGACCTCAAAGATTGGAAATGACTTATGAGATGCTGGGCAGTAGGGTGCTCCAGATGGAAAAGAGTCACAGGATGTGAAGGGCTAAATCTGCTGATCTCAGATGGGAAGTTGGCCTATGGTTGAATTGGGCTTGTGCTAGGAAGAGTGAGGAAGGATAGGGAGATCGCATTTCTCCCCTGGGACGAGGGATAGCGGCAACCCTGCTCACTCTCCCCTTATGTCCACCCATCTTCTGATAGAGTATGGCTAGTTGTTCCAGAGATAACACCAATACCCAAGAGCTGGAGAAAGGATGGGGATTGTGAAGGGCACAGGAAGACTTTAAATCCACAGTAATTATCCAGGAGCTGCTGTGACCGTAGTGGTTAGCTGGACATGAGCCACTGGCATTACAGTGAGCTTGCCCTTCAGTGAGTACTTCTTAACCCCACTTGCATGTCAGTCAGTTAGTGAAAGGAGGTGGAGCCAGGACAGTCCCACCAGTAGGAAAACTGTGAAAAAGTGACTCACAACCCAAGATGCATGTGGTTTTGCGTAATGAGGTTGGCTTCAGCCATGACTTTTTGAGTCATCCCCAGGTCTTGAAGAACAATGGAAGATAATTAAGCAGAGGGAGAGAGGGTTTGAGGTTGGGGTGTCATCCATTCTATTGGAGAAAAACCTATGCTAGAAAAGATTGTGTTTTAACTGTTGGGTAACATCCTCTCCACCTTCTCTGAACTGTCTTTCAGGGACCTGAGAAACACCTGTTACCTATAACTACAGAATAGAGAGTAACATGATTTAGTTTAGAAGAAACAGAGTCTTAGATTTTTTTTATCCTAAAAATAGAAGTAAATTTATGGGGGATGCTACCACTTGCACATCTTCCTCACCCAAAAAAGTATGTACCCCAGACTACGTCTTTTCCTAATGCTTAAATGGATTCACAAGGAGATAGTCCAAACTGAATCAGAAGAAATATGCACCACTGTTTAGGAATCGGGTCTGAGAACTTACACAATTATACCAACTAGGAAATAGTGAGAGCAATTGCAACACCACCACTAGGAACATCAGGTTGGAGCCTTTTATCCCCAAGCTTCTGTCCTTTGGTTCTCTTATCATCATGTGAAGGCTCTGCTCCAGGCGTCTCACACCTAGGGGTCTGTCCTTCTGGATGAGTGTCCACGCAACCTAGCTAGAGAGCCTTGCTGGGGCAACAGATAATGCTTACCAGCCTAGCAGGGTAAAAAGGGAGTCAGGGAAAACAAGCCTTCGGAGAGAAAACAGACTTGCGTCTAAGGGCATTGAAAAAAAAATAAGCCTGTCTCTCTTTTCTTGGGCTGTCCTCACTCTAAACTCTTTCCAGATGTCTACAGAGCTGGGGTCTTGTTTCTTGCACAGCTTTCACTCTCCCAGGTATGAGGAATACTTTCCCCACGGACCTGTGACCCAGGTGCATGTGTAGCTCTGCCACCTCTTCCTGCCCCACCTCTGGAACCTTTTACAACCCACCAATACTCCGCATGTTGATCTTGGACCTCAGGCTCTGTTTCTTGATCCTTTCTGTCACTGTCCCTGCCTCGCACCAGTAGGACCCAGAGTCTTTAGTTCGTATGGAGGAGATCTGGAAGTCTGGGAGTCGGCTCCAACCTGACCCCAGAATGCTGTTATCTTTGAAGAAGCGGAACTGGAGCTGGACATCTGACCGTTGCGGAGCGAGCTGGGTCTCACAGGTCAGGGTCACTTGGTCCCCATTTGCGGGCTGGTGCGGGCTGACTGTCAGCACAGGACGTGAAAATAGCTCTAAAGAGAAGAATCACAACAGTCCCTCCAAGCAATGAGACTTGGAACTGGTTTGCAGAAAAACACAACTCAACACTGACAAGCAGAACATGCAAACAGAAGGGGTGCTACTTTTTATTCCTAATGTCCTTCCATCCTTAAAGCACTGTCTACTTCTCATCCTGGTGAGATGAGCCCTTAGGTTCAGGGGTATTCCAGTCCAGCCTGTGTTTCCTATTCTACCTCTACAGTGCCAGGGGTCCTACTTTGACTAACCCATTTCACAACAGAATAAAGGGCTGGGGCCAGCAGTTAGCGTAATGGCTATGTCACTGGACTCCCATGTAATCGACCGCGGTTTGAGTCCCGAACCCGATGGCTTAAACTCACGGTGGTGCACGTGTGTGCGTGCTCAAGATCCCAAGAGGAGAATGGAGGAGAAGGGATTGCAGTGTGGCCATCCCCCCTGGGGGGTGATTTCTCGCTTTCTGTCACTCTGTCTCTCTCTGTCTTTCTGGCGAGCGCATGCGCCCTATAGCAAAAACCTCTTAAAAACAAAACAAAACAGTAAAGAATTTACCTTCAACTTGGATTATGGCTGTGTTGGAAGAAACTGAGCAACAAGGTTTCTCATATCCAATACACTTATAGGCACCATTGTCCTTCAGATTTGCATGGTAAATGCTGAAGTTAGAGCTTTTACTAAGCTTTTTATCATCCTTGAAAAAAGCAATATTCAGCATTTCCTTTTTTTTCGCCTGGCACCTCAGAACCACGAAGTCTCCTTCAAACACAGAAAGTGGAGCCTGCAGGATCAGCGGAGCTAAAGGAAACATAAGACCAGTTATTCAGTTCATTCCTTTGTTTCCATTTGCTTTTTATTATTATTCCAAGTAGATTTTATAGGAAAAGAGGCTGGGAGGAAGAGTTTTTAAAATAACAATTTCAGAATGGCTCCAGAGCCTAGTAGTTAAGTGAAGGGGAGTCCATGTGGCTGAATCCAGTTTGAGTCTCAACCTTGGCAGCTTGAAAAACAAGCGGGGCATGTATACATACATGCCCCAGATCCTGACAGAATGGAGAAATGGGGGAGAAGGGATCAAAGTGTGACCATGTCTCATTGTGGGTGATTCCTCCCTTTCCTTCTGTCTCTCTCTGGCTAGAGCATCCACATTCTGGCAAGTAAAAAAAAGAAACAAAATCATAATTTCTTTTTTTCTGATTATAAAATGAACACATACACCTTGAGAAATTTAAATAAAAACCACCTTCCATCTCACTGTCTCGTATTTTCCCAGTTTTCTTTTATGTTCATGTATGCCAGAGCTTGTGTTTCTTTTTTTAATGAAATTAGAATAATATTTATAGATTTGATAATCTGCCTTTTGCCTACTATGCTATTAAGATTTTCCAGTGTCATTAAAATTGCTCCTGACAGGAATTTCAACGGCCAGTTTCCCCTCAATAGCAGTCATGCAATTTATTTAATCAGTCTTTTTTCCTTGATCATCTAGGGTTCTCCATTCTTGGGAATGATCATTTCAGTAGGTCAATTCTTAAAAGTGGAATTGTTAGGCCAAAGAGCACAAGCATTTTACTTGTCCCTTTCTACTACACTGTTGTCTCCTTCACTGAATTACAAGCAGTATAGCTAAGATGCTGTTGTACCAACTTCAAAAAGGTGGCTTTAGGACAAAAGGCAAATACCTCTTCACTATCTATCTGCCTACCTACCATCACGTACCTATATTTGTGAATATAAAAAAATCCTTTAGGACAAAAAAGAAAATACCTCTTCAGCTGTCATCTATCTATATCTATCTAGCTATCATTTATCTATCTATCTGTCTATCTAATCTATTTTCTTTTTGGAGAAGTTTTCACTATAGGGCGTGTGCACTCGCCAGACAGAGAGAGACATAGAGACAGAAAGCGAGAAATCACCCCCCAGGGGGGATGGCCACACCACAATCCCTTCTCCTCCATTCTCCTCTCGGGATCTTGGGCACACACGCACATGCACCCGGCGTGAGTTTTAAGCCACCGGGTCCAGGACGCGAACCACGGTCGACTACATGGGAGTCCAGCGACATAGCCATTACGCTAACTGCTGGTTCCCTCTATCTAATCTATTAATCATCTATCTGTCTGTCATCTATCCAGCTTCCCACCTATCATTTATCTATATCCATGAATATAAAAAGTCTTCAAGTAAATCATACAGCTTGACACCATGTAGATTCAAGGATCATTCCAATAAAATGCTTCTCAAGTTTCCTTTTACCTGAGCAGCCCGTAGAAAACACAAAGTTCTATACTCTCCTCCTATGGATTTTGATTCAGTAATGTAGGGTAGGACCTGGGTATCTGTATGGTAAGAAAGCTTCTCAAATAAAACTTTAAGGATCACAGGTTTAGGGACATTAACATCACTAGAAGCTATAGTGTTTGTATGGTTCGTTTGTAACCTTTAGTTGTTATGTATAAGAATTCTGTCCCTCTACATGCCCTACTAAGGCTGAATCAATTTTATCCTGATTATTTAAAAATTTAAAACTTTTATGTTCAAGCATAACAAACCAATGCCATTCCCTATTTGGCTGCATATAGAACTTTCCCCTCTCTTCTCTCAGTCTAACCGCCATGTGGAATACAATTGTTCACTCTTGGGTTGTTAGAAGTAAACAAACAGCGACACTTAGGTAAGAAAATGGACTAAAATGACTTCTAAAGTTTTTCTTCCTTTCACTTCTTTCTCACCTGAAGAAAAGACGAGGGATACAGGGTTACTCTGAGGTGAGTCCTGGGCCTGACATCTGTACTGTCCAGATTCATTAACCCTGATGGGGTTTCCTAAGATTTCCCTTGGTAGTTGTTTCTCATGGTACAAATGGTACCATTTTATTTTCTCTGGTGTGTAGGAGTGAAATCCGTTGCAAGTCAGATCCACTGTCTGTCCTTGTGAGACGATGGTCCATGGAGGGTGGAGGGAAATCACAGGCTTGAGTGCAGGTGCTGAGGAAGATAAAAGGAATAAACGGATTTGAGGTGGAGGTGCAGTCCTAGCCATAGTGGTTCATGTGGGATAGATGGAGGACCTGGCTTTGGAGAATCCCTTCTGGGCCCCCTGGGAGGGCCATGATGGCCCCAGGATCCTTGTCGCCCTGCAGTGCTCACTCACTCAAGGGAGCGTGATTGTCCAGGGAGTGATTGCCAGCAAATTGGTTTTGAGACATTATACCAGAAGGATCCACTGACACACATCAATGGTCACTTAGCCATTGGTTATGGAAGTAGATCCCTGCCCCTGCCGTTTCATTATGTTTCTAAACTGTCACGAATGTGCAAAGGTTTTGGTAAAATCACATTTTTGTACTTTCCCTTAAAAGAATAAATAATATTATCATAAAATTTTGGCACTGAGAAAAACTTGAGAGATCAATTTATCGAACATCTTCATTGTATAGATGATGGATTCGAGTGCCCAGAAAAGATCTCATCATAGCTAACTGTGGCAGAGCAAAGAATGGACAAGTCCTTCACTGGAATCCTGAGGTGATCTAGACAAGAGTACTGGGGAGACAGTGGGTTTGGGGCAAGAAGGGAGTTATAGAGTGTACTTGCTATTCATGGGTTCTTATCTATTAATAACTAAGACATTCCCTGGCCCAGCAGCATGGCCATGAGAGTCAGTACTAAGAAAATGTCTGACACAGATAAATGGCCTTCTCCCTTGATGTTCTTTTTTATGTGCATTTCTTAAGGACTTAGCAGTTGTATGTTCTTCTGCTCTCTACACATTTTCTGGAGGATTTACTCTTTAAAACTGGCATTTCCATGGTATGATGTGTTCAGAAGCTTTTTCTTGACTTGCTGATTAGAAAGGATACTACCCCAAGTCCTGCACATCTGCCATGAGGTTAAAAATATCCTGCCAGGCTCAGTGGAGTTCATTTTCAATAGGAGCAAATGTTGGGCATAGCAAAGGCCAGGGGCTGTTTATGCACTGACCACCTCACTCAGCGAGGTGAACCAGAAGGGTGACATGACGCTATCCTGGCCCTTGGGTGATGCCAATAGATGGTGACAATTTTACAACCTACTGACCTTGCCAAAAAACTAAGGAGCTTTAGGGATCCTCAGGAGGTCATCATAAATGTTTTATATTTATCAGAACATTCTTATCCAGAGACATGGCAGAACAGAAGAAAGGAGAACTCACCAAATTGTCCAATGACAGGAGCTGCAAAAAGATAAGAGAGCCAGAGATGAGCATAGGGCACTGATTCTTTGGCTTTTAAAGATGCCATTTTTTTTCTCAGTCTACTTATTACTTCTTTCATTAAAAATCATTTTTAGGGACCAGTAGTTGGCATAATGGCTGTGTCATTGGACTCCTATGTAGTCGACTGCAGTTTGAGTCCTGAACTTGGTGGCTTAAGCTCACACTGGGCGTGTGTGTGTGCGTGCCCAAGATTCTGAGAGGAGAATGGAGGAGAAGAGATTGTGGCATGGCCATCCCCTCTGGGGGGTGATTTCTCACTTTCTGTCTCTCTGTCTCTCTCTCTGTCTTTCTGGCAAGCGCATGCACCCTATAGCAAAAACCTCTCAAAAAAAAAAAGATTAAAAAAAATAATTTTTAAATAATTTAATAGTTATTAAGTACCTATATACTAAGGCATTGTGCTTGGTCTTCTAAGATGCATTAAAAAATATCTATTAGCAAGAAGAGAAAGAAATAGAAATGGAATATGAAGTAATATTTGAGGAGTCTTTATAGCATTCACTGAACTATGAAAAAACTATGCATGGATCTTAAACAAAAATGTATACCAAAATGAACATATTTTAATTCAACTTTTCATAAACTTTTTGAAGTCCTTTGTACAATAGTTGCAATAGAGGGCATAGGTACAATAAAAAAAATACTCCCAGCACAGTGTGTAGGGTGTGAGTGTGTGTGTGTGTGTGTGTGTGTGTGTGTGTGTGTAAGATGGTGGGTGGACCGTGGGAGACATCTGAAGAAGGCAATAACTGAGGAACTGTGAATGTGAACATAGGAACCAATTGTTTAGTGCTTGTATGTGGCAAGAGCCAATGGAAAGGGTAGTCAAAGAAGGAAGGGCATAGATGTGAGGGGATGGCATTGGCGTTTAGGAGTTGGGGGGATCTGGAAGGTAGGGAGTTAGGGGCAGATTAGAGAGGCATGAAGAGCCCAAGTAAGTGTCTCTGAAAGCAATGGGAACCATGGACGACTTTCGAATAGGAGAGTAATAGGGTTAGAAATGGAAACTTAGAGTACTCTGGCAGCAGACAGACTTCTGTAGGACAAGATGTGAAGCAGAGAGACTGGTGAGATGGCAGGATGCAAAAGATAGTGACACTTAATTTTCTTCAGAAAATTATCCAAAATTTATCTTAATCATTTGCTTTCTTGTTTACCATTTTCATTTTTTACTTTCTCCTCTCTAGAATGCAAGGCCTGTGAAAGAAAGAACTCTTATGTTGACCATCTATCCTGTAGGATGTACCACAGTGCCTATACAAGGTAGTGCACAAATACTTATTAATATCTATTTATCAAATTGATTAAAGAACCAGGTTAGCAATAGTACAGGTAGAAGGGCACAGGTTTACGATGGGTGATGAGGAGCAAGCGGAGGCAAAAATGGCAATTTGGGGAACCAGCAGTTAGCGTAATGGCTATGTCGCTGGACTCCCACGTAGTCGACCACGGTTCGTGTCCCAGACCCGGTGGCTTAAAACTCACGCCGGGCACGTGTGCGTGCGTGCCCAAGATCCCGAGAGGAGAATGGAGGAGAAGGGATTGCGGCGTGACCATCCCCCCTGGGGGGTGATTTCTCGCTTTCTGTCTCTATGTCTCTCTCTGTCTGTCTGTCTGGCAAGCGCACGTGCCCTATAGTGAAAACCTCTCCCCCCCAAAAAAAAGAAGAAAAAAAAAAAAGAAAAAAAAATAGCAATTTGTAAATTGATTTGGTACCAGTCTGCCAGATAAGGGACAGACTGGGTTCATTCATTCCACAGAACTTTCTGGAACATCAACCATATGCTAGGGCAAGGGAATGGAAATCAAGCCATGAGTCAGAGGCACATCTTTACATACCAGTTTATGGAGGAGATAGCCAAACCTCAGTGTTTTATTATGAGCAATGAATTATTCACCATTTTCTAAAAATCTTGGTCTCCATGGCTTCTGTATCATTTTAAATATAGTTAATACTTTTCCTAAGAGTTTTCTATTTAGCATGCATTTACATAAATTATTTAATATAATCTTATCAATAAACTTATAAGGTAAATGTGTAAATTAGGATTTTGCCCCAGTGCCCATGTATTCACCAGAGAGAGACAGTGAGAAGGAAAGTGAAAAATCACCTATTCAGGGAATGGCTGCACTGCAATCCTTTCTCCTCCATTTCCCTCCTGGGATTTTGGGCATGCATGCACACACACCTGGAGTGATTTTCAAGCCCCCTGGTCTGGGACTCGAACAATGGTCTGCCAGTGGAAGTCTAGTGCATTAATTACCATGTCACCTGCTGGCCCCGATTATTTACATTTTTACACACCAGAAAAATTGTTAAGTAATGAGCAGGTGGCAGGAAGGAGGTTTGTGTTTGGTTTTGAGAGACCCTCAATAGGATCTCACACAGTGATTCCCCTCTCTAGCCTTCTAATCAGCCAGGGTCATGGATGTGTGTGTCTTGAGTGTACTGGGGAATGGAACCTACAACCTTTCATATGGATCCAGCATTGCTGAGCAGCTCGTAACTGCTGTACCTCCTGTTGACCCAGGGTAGAGTTCTAACCCAGATCCAGTTTGACCTCAAAGCAAATGTTCCATTACCGTACCCTGCACCTCTGTGTGGGAGCGACCCATGGATGTGCTTCCTATGTCTGGAATAATAGTTCATGCATTTTCCAACTGTGAGGTCCTCTTTTCTTTTTAAAAATGTTTTTATTTATTGGGTAGTCAAGAAAGTCATGATGCATTTTTGCATAGAAAAATACGTTGTGACTTTTCCAACAACCTAATATTTCTTTCATGAAAGTGAAGAGATGGAGAAAGAAAGAAAAAGACAAGAACTTTCAACAGGGTCTCATTTCACGTACCCCGCCCCCTGCTCCAGCCTCCCAGCCTCCCAGCCTCCCAGCCTCCACAGCCATTCAGGCTCATGGGCTTGCACCTGGCATGTACAGGTCAACTGGGAACCAAACCTATGACCTTCCATACAAATCCAGCATCCCTTGAGCAGCACATTACCACTGTGCCACTGAGCCATCCCAGAGTCCGCTT